TGTATACTGTCAGTGGTGTCTAAATACTCTCAGAAAGTACATATGACTTCGAAAAATCACATTGGTACTTGTCAGGCCAGGTTTGAACCCGCGCCCTTGGCAACGAGAGGCGGGCCCCTTAACCACTAGGCCACCACTATTTATTATACCACTATTTATTATATACCACATTAGCTCTGTTTACAAAGTTAATTGTTTTCTCAATATTTTAAAATAATTCCGCAACGAGAATAAACATGTCAATATTATTAAACACCAATGATTATAATATCAAGGTGTTTAAATATTTGATACCATATAAAGCTGGTTGATCACCACATGCAGAGACATAGCTAGATAGCTTCACTTAGAAATTATTAATTATGATACAAAAACGTTTTCTAGTTTTATCATAAATACGATTAGTAGTAAATAGAAAACGAAATTGTTAATAAATTTTTAAATTATCTTGTTATATTGTTAATATTTATCTTTGATTTTATTATTAATAAAATCAAAGATAAACATATATATATTTATATATATGTTTATCTTTGATTTTATTCACGGTATCTTATTATTGCAGTCAAAATAATGTTTTGACATTGGTTAAATATTCTACAAGTCCAGTACAAGCCGTAGAATAAATAAAATAACATAATATTATCGCTTTCGATGGTAAACAATGCTAGCTATATTCTTAAACAATTATATTTTTATGACTAGTTTTATACTTCCAGTAACGTTCTGACGATTAATATGAAGTCATGTGTTTGTTCACTTTGTTTTTATGTCTATTAGGTTGGTAGACTGCATGTTTAAATGTGTGCATATAATATTATTAGGCGGATTAGAGGTTAAAGGCCCGCCTCTCGGGCATGAGGGCGCGGGTTCGAAACCTGGCAAGTACCAATGTGATTTTACCGAATCATATGTACTTTTTAAGAGTATTTAGACACCACTGACAGATGAAGGAAAACATGGTGAGGAAACCTGGACTTATAATATCAAATTATAAGTTTGAAATCGCCAACCCGTCTTGAGCAAGCGTGGTGATTAATGCTCAAACCTTCTCCATGTGAGAAGAGGCCTTTGCTCAGCAGTGGGCTTCTGGTAGGCTGATGATGATGATAATTGTTATTATGAAAATGTGAATGTGAAGAATTTTTTTTGGTTTTTATTGTTTTTCTGTTTTCATATTCTATGTAGTTTAATCATAGTTCTAAATGTGAATTACTATTAGTTATTTTTCCAGGTAAAAGTTTTGCTTGGGAAAACATCTTATCACGAGAGCATGTCAGAAAGACCACGATACATCCTTGGCTGGGTGTATTAGAAGTGAGATTAGGTAAAAGTGATTACTTTAATAGCATAATGAAATCTAAAACTCGTCTGTCCGTGATCACGGTTGCTGAAAAGTAACCAAACGTCGGGAGTATATAGTTTATTTAAAAATAAAGCACTCGTAGTATATACGAATAATATTAATTTCATTTAGTTTAATAGCTTATAAAAACACACAAAATATAAAGTACGTAGTACAAAAATACTATATTTCAATTAGGTCTTTATTTTTTGATATTCTCCGAATTGCCGATTGAAATCTTCAAATATATAATATTATAAATATTAAAACAGTTGAACGAAAATTTGTCTCTCTCCCACCGAATGGATAGTCTAAGAATATAATTTAAGTTTAATATCTGTTACTTATAAATAAATACTTACTTCATATAAATACAGAATATATTGTCAATAATTGTTTGGTTTAGACATAACTAAGTTAATCGGAGATTATATTTTTCATACTTAATCAATTTATCTAAAATTTCAGAGTAATTATATATCATTTTACTTTTGCTTCACATACTAAGAAATCTAAAGGACCAAGTACTGTTTAAATTTATGTGATAAAAAAGTAATACTTATAGTATTTACGTAAAAGTTTTATAATTATTTCCACAATATCTAATCCGTATAACTAGTATATTTTGTACTTTTTAAGATGACGCTGATTTTGCAACGAATCTGATTATTCTTGCAAATCGTCTGGCTGTAGCTAATGCAAACGATATTACGAAGCTCGACGAAAAAATATTAAGGTATGATAAGGAAATACAGAAATATCATGTACGTATGTAATAAAATATATTTAAATGTTACTTATATATAAATAGTAGCCAGTGGTGGCCTAGTGGTTAAAGGGCCCGCCTCTCGTTGCCGAGGGCGCGGGTTCAAAGCTGGCTGTGATTTTTCGGAGTCATATGTACTTTCTGAGAGTATTTAGACACCACTGAAATAAATTAGACACCACTGAAAACATCGTAAGGAAACCTGGACTTATAGTTTCACAATTATAAGTTTGAAAACACCATTCCGTCTTGAGCAAGCGTGGTGATTAATGCTCAAAACTTCTCCATGTGAGAAGAGGCCTTTGCTCAACAGTGGGCTCTGATAGGCTGATGATGATATAAATAGATATTTCAAATATAATACACAAAGAGAAACGATATTATCAGTGAATGGTAGAATATTAGGCGTTTTCTCTTTCATATAATATTGCTGCATATAACATATAGTTCTTTGGAAATAAAACCTATTTTAAGTAATTTTTAATTACAGCTTTTATTTAGAAGGATATCAATTGAATCTTCATTTTCCAATTGTTTAACTTCATTTGTTTATCATCTATTACAGTAATAGAAATTGTTTTATATTACATTTAAAATAAACATATTTTATTGTATAAATATTAAGAACTTGACATTGCATTACTGGAGATTGTTTAAATAATGTTACATAATTTGAATTTTGAACCATATAATACTACTTATAAAGTTGAATTTCTAATTTTATTATATTTCCAGGACATCAACAAGAGCTATATTTTTCAAACATCACATGCCAAGTTATTGTCATGTCACAGGTTATAAAATCCATCCGGAGTTTCAGAATAAAACTGTGAACACACTGGCATTATTACACCTAGACTGTGACATTCATTGTATGTATTGATTTCATTTTAAAGATGTACTTTCATTGTTTGCAAGAGATAAAAAGATATGTTAAAAATTATAGGTTAATTTCGATTAAAATTAGATAATTATTTATATTATTACGATTGCTCAATCGTTCTTTTAAAACTGACTTAATAATTGATATGGAAAACAACATATTCTAGAAAAGCACTACTTAAAATTGCTATTAGCGACATATACAAGTGCAGCCCGGAGCAAGAGCTAGTTATTAACTTATATAATTTATATTAAGATTATTAATAAGTAAGTATAATTATATTTATTTATTCTAGGGACACCGATAAATTGGCTGGATGAAAATATTGGACACAACACTTATGCCATTGGTTTGACCGATCGTATGTTGTAAATACATATATTGAAATTGCTCTAAAATTATTAATTGTAATTCATATTATTAACGTTGAAAGGCATTGTAAAAGAATTAGAGAAAGATGAGAAACGTACTAAAATAAAATATTTAGACGGGTAGCTATAGATTATGTGTATAGTCTTTTTGAAAAATGGCTATTCAAACTCTAAATGAAATTGAAATGAAATGTTGATATTATTCTTAAGACTTTTGGTTACTATTAATATATATAGTGTTTTATTCTTTTATTCTAATACTGATTAAATATAAAATTACAAAACATAATTTTTCAGTTGATTGTATTAAAAATAAATATTTATTCGTTGATTGTCCCAATTTAAAAACAAAAAAACTAATAATATATTGCAAGCGAAAAAGGTTTGGAAAATTAATCCCTACTAATATTATAAATGTAAAAGTAACTCTGTCTGTCTGTTACGCTTTTACACCTAAACCACTGAACTGATTTTAATGAAATTTGGTACAGAGATAGTGTTGACCTTGAGAAAGAACATAAGATAGTTTTTATCCCAGACTTTTGAAAGGTTCTCTGGGAAACGCGATATAACCGAACTCCACGCGGGCGCAGCTGCGGGCGGAAAGCTAGTCTTTTATATGGTCTTTATCACTTTTTAGAGAGACATGAATTCGTACAGATTTTATATAACATGAAGAAGATTGATCCCACCAGTTGTAAGGAGTTTTATATTAAGGAAGAGGTAATAATGTCACTATACTTACAATACAGTCTAGAATTATATCAATCAAATGTACCAAGTTATATACGTGATTAGTTTAAAATGTCGGCATGGAATGACCGCGATCTTGCCTATGTTTGAATAAACTTTTGGTTATATTAATGATACTAATATTTTCTTATTACTACGCGTTATTTTATATTGTGTACACGGCATTGTATTACTATATGTGACGGCACACGTCTCGTCTGTCCGTAATCACGGTTGTAACAAAGTAAGCGAAACGTCGGGAGTATAGTTAAAATAAAAAAAGCGTAGTAATCCGAAAATATTAGTTTCATTTAAATGAATACTTTTGAAAGTCATACTCATTATTTTGGTTACCTAACCAACCCATATCGGGCAGTAGTGGCTAAAGATTACAGCCATCTATATATGGAGAAAGGCTATCTTCTGTATATCTATCTATGTATATTATTTTAGATAAATTTTGATTACCTATGGCCAGAACATTGGACGTGTTATGTAGCTGTTGATGTTGAAAAACAATGTGTATTCGATTCCGGTATGGCCCTAGTTCAAGAGAGTGAAGGAAATTTAACGCTGGTTGGACACTTTTCTTTATAAAGCTACTAAATATTTACACTAACTAAACCGTATTACGCCACTTTTATCCCTACTAATATTATAAATGCGAAAGTAACTCTGTCTGTCTGTCTGTTACGCTTTCACGCCTAAACAACTGAACTGATTTTAATGAAATTTTATACAGAGATGGAGTTGACCTTGAGAAAGAACATAGGATAGTTATTATCCCAGACTTTTGAAAGGTTCTCTTGGAAACACGATATAACCGAACTCCACGCGGGTGAAGCTGCGGGCGGAAAGCTAGTATCTAATATATAAGTTTTAATTCTATCTTATTGAATACAGATGCCTATTTCACAGATCGGTATAAGCGTTTTGGGTCCTGGTTGTGCGCTACCATCGAGATATATCAATATAAAACCATACATACCCTGGATAATTGGAAACCTGGGTTACAGAAGAGCAATGGGTAAAAAGAAAACTACTTCCAATACAACGAAAATAACAGCGATTTCATCTGATGACATCATCAGTGATGTTGGTTATATAGATGAAGACTTCTACTTGGGGAAGTTAAACGATTCTACTATGATATTGGAACCAAGTGAGTCTTTAATTATGAGATAATTGAACATCTATCACAGTATAATATATCGTACCGTAACGTACCGTACCGTACCGCATCATACCATAACATCCTTTACCATACTATATTCAACCATCTTATATTGAACCACACCACATCAAACATAATCGCACCTCATCCTATTCATTTATTTATTTATTTATTTATAATAAGCACACTAACAACATACATATTAAAAGTTTTCAGTTAAGGAAGGTGACTATATTATAACAACAGATATGTGCGTCAATGATAAGTGTACATAACATTTACCAAATACAATCAAAAAAGTATACACACTAAGTTAGATATAAAACAAAAATACTAAGTAAAAATAACAAAATAAAAAAAATAATAATCATATAAACTTGGGAAAACTATGAATTAGAAGAAAGATAGTCAATGATTTTCTTTTTACATAAATCCTATGACCATACTATTTCGTATTTCGTAATATTTTAATTAAAATTACCTTAGTAATAATATTAACATAACTTTCAGAATATAAGAATGTAAACGAAGTACCATTCGGCAACTGTACGAAACTAGACTCATTAATTTACAGAGACGCGGGCATTATAAGGACATCCAATCGACCCGCCACTGGCATTTACGCTGTTGAGTTATTTAATGATTCATTATATTAACATTTATTTTATATGGATTACTTGATTCAGAGTTTAATAAGGCGCGTCTCAAAATCTATTAGGAGATAATTAAATTACGAAACGAGATAGATAAATTTAGATATTAATGCATTACCAAAGAGGGTTGATGTCAGGCAGGCGGCCGGTCGTAAAAACAATTAGTCAAAACTATTCACAACACGTAAGGCATATCCTGGCTAAAGCTGGGAAATTGCCAGGTAGAAGAAGATAGATGAATTTAGATATATGTTTAAGGATGATGAAAAATTCTTGTAATTGTTATAAATTTCGGTATTTTTGTAAACAATAGATAATTTAGCATTAACCAGACTTGTTTATATTGCCTTATATGTAATTCTGATTCTAGCTATCTCTATACGATCTGTTTTACGACGAGATAACTTGCGTAATTGTGTCTGTCAGATGCGACAGACGATCTCCGACGAAATTCTGGTTTGACACCGGCTTCAAAACTGATGATATGGCAGACCTTATAAAGATTGTGCCACATTACAAGAGAGGCGAGAAAGTACCGCCGAAGATATTATTTATAACGGATTCCTTTGTTAATTACGAGCATATTGAAACAGCTAATTTAGTTTTTAAATTTGAATTCACCGCTCAAGCGACTATTAACGTGGAGTTTTATGGAATTAAGAAAGGAAAACCTAATACGTGGGCGACAAATGGTATGATATTTAAGATATATTTTATTAATAAATTAATAATACATATAAAAATCATTACCAAAACAATTGTCTCTTAACGAGATCTAAGACTTTCGCGATTCATTTAAATGAAACTAATATTTTTCGGATATACTACGCGTGATTTATTTTTGTAAAAAAAAAACTTCTTACTACAGATTTTGTAAGAAAACTACATACTCCCGACGTTTCGATTACTTTTCAACATTCGTAAAGTATAATAAAGCAACGTTTATCCGAAAAATATTCGTTTCATTTAAACTGTCTCTTTATAACTAAAAAGTGTATAGTAATTTTGTTGCGTTACTCGACCAATATACTTCATGTAGTATACTTATATTATTACTTGACTATGCTTAATTTTATTTATACTTAAAATAAGAATTTTAGTACATTTTTGATTTTCAAAGTAAACACGTAAAGTTTGCAGTTTGCATGAAATGAAATAAGTTTTATGAATGTTGAAGTAAAAACTGTCTGTATTAATTTGACGTAGCAATAATATTAATGAAATATAAACTTTAATTCAGTAAATTAAAGTTCAAATTTGTATAATTAAATTCACAGGAACCACAGATAGACCAGATATCTTCAAAATCTTGTTTTCAGATAAGGACAGAAACTGAAGAAAAATAATGACACTGTATTTGTATACTATGAATAAAATATAAGTATTTATTTAAAACCGTGTATAAATTATTATTTTAATAAAATTTTAATTTAAATATTTTCGTATTGATTTGTTTTTTATTTGTATTTCGTATTCATTTTGGTTATTCCCGATAGCCTTGCTTACCAGAAAAACGAGTCTGGTTAAGACCTAGTATACTTTAACTTACAAATTCAGACCAGACTGAAATCAATTTAACACTCAGATATATCAATTAATTTTTATTCCTAAGTATAGGCTACAATTTATATATATATATATATATATATATATATATATATATATACTAGCTTTTGCCCACGACTTTGTTCGCGTTGGTTTCATAATAAGGAAAAATCTATAGCTGACCAGGCGAACTGTTTATATAATAAACAGATTTTATAATTTATTAGCAATTTTTTTTTGTCGAACGAATTCAAAAGTATCCTATGTTCATCTCCTGATTCCAATCTACCTCACAAATTTCCATCTAAATCTGAAAATACGTTCTTGAGTTATAAATTGTGTAATTAACACGACTTTCTTTTATATATATATGGAGCGTTTATTTTGAAAGTGGTGTTTGTCCATTTACTTTTGTTTCGATAAAATTAAAGGTTATTTATAACTTGATTTAAAAAAAAAGGCAAATCATATGAGGTCTGGCATTTCTATTGTTTAGTTAACAATTATTTTTGGCTAAATGAAACTAATATTTTCGGATTTATTACTATGTGCCATCACATCTCATCTGCCCGTGTTCACGGTTGTTGAACAGTAACCGAAACGTCGGGAGTATGTAGTTTATAATCAAACATAAAAATCTAGTAGTAAATCCAAAAATATTAGTTTAATTTAAATAAATTCTTGTGAAAATCTTAGATGTCATTATTGTTTTTGACTAATAAGACTACGATAACACAATTTATATGCTGTAAACTTTCACCACTTAATTATATAGGATAGCTACCGGAGGTTCCGGGAAAACTACGAAATATATGTACTTATTACATTATTAAAATAAAAATTACATATTAACACTTATAACTTATACCTAAGACTAAATGATTGCCCCGATGTTAGGATGACAATGGCATTCTATTGCTTGTGTGGTATCAGGAATCTTCTGGTTCACACGGCTTGGTGTTCGTTCCGCGGAGTCAGCAGCGTCACTCGTTATACGATATTTTACTTATACAAAGATGTCGCCCCGGCGATGTTCATTATTTTTTCTTCATATGTAGCGCGTACGTAACAAGTTTCAAAAAAAACGGTCCATAGATATATACAGGGTGACTGGTGGATTACTATCGATATTTGAGGACGTGATATTTGACGATCATATATGACAAAATAAAAATTAATATAACATAAATATTAATAAACTTCTAAGTAAAGTTAACCAAAAGTTATGTAATTAATTACGCATCGTGTGAACACCCTACAGATTAGGTATACACTGATACTCACACATACGCATGTCGTGACGTGGTGTTGTATCAACACGTCGCCGCACGCGTCCACACTTGAACACTTGGAACGTGTCAACACTTTACTTATTTATACGGAAATTTTGTCAAAAATTAAGTGCCTACTTTTTTTACAATCAATTTTCTTGTTATATATAATGTATACTGTGTAACTCCAGTCGCAAGCTACACAGTATGTTAATATAATTAACACTCGTGTTGGACAGGATGAGAAACATCTACATCTTGCTGTGTTTTGCATTTTTAAATCGTTAATACACTCGCGTTACGTACTTCTGATTCACTACTGCTTTTATATTGAATAACATTTATGATTAAATTGTACTCGTATCAATTATGTTTTGTATTTTATCAACAAAATTTATATAACAGAGAAAAATAATTCGATAAAGATGTTGTTCTCTTTTTTTTCACTCTAAATATAATATCATAAAAACTCTTTTATAGGTTGACAAAATTTATATAAGTCAATAAATACATTGTATAGCGTCCTTATTTATTGGACGAAGTAAAAAATAGTATGTAGGTAGACTGTACTTGTACATTAAAGTTGAACTGAAGCTTTAGAGGATTTTTAAAGACATTAATTTCAGAGATCAGAAATTTTAATAAGGTAACATATATTTTCCATAATTCGTACAAACATATGTTACAGATTACAAATATTAAGTGTAAAATTATTGATATCGATGTTTTAATGTGCATCTTTAAGTTTATGCAAACTGAATATATATGACAAAGATCTCAATTACACTCTACGAAAAAAAAACTCACATAAGTTATTTAAGATAAATTAGAATTCAAATTATTTTAGCTCATACATTTTTAAACATGACAAAACATATGAATGTCATATAAAATGCAGTTTCAATGCACTTGCCGTATCGGGAGTGTAACAATTTTAAGACGAACCGCCGGAGGGCAATTATTCATGTAACCTACCAGAATACTTGCTTAATAACAGTTTATAAACAATATACATTAATTACGAACACGATAATAAAATGTATTACAAAAAACTTGTTATGTTTTAAACAAGTGTATTTTTAAACTTAAGAAATAAATTCTCCAAAAAGTGTACCTATATATGTATTTCGTCAGCAGCTTATCAGAGCCCACTGCTGAGCATAGCCTCTTCTCACATGGAGAAGATTTGAGCATTAATCACCACGCTTGCTCAAGACGAGTTGGTGGTTTCAAACTTATAATTGTGAAATTATAAGTCCAGATTTCCTCACGATGTTTTCCTTTACCGTCAGTGATGTTTAAATACTCTTATAAAGTACATATGACTCGACAAAATCACATTGGTACTTGAAAGGATCGAACCCGCGCCCTCATGCACTAGAGGCGGGCCTTTAATCACTAGGCCACCACTGACATATATATTTAAATGTACCTAATCTTTGTATATAAAGAGCAATGCTTAAACTCAAATTAAATCGACCATGTAATTAACAATAATAATAATAGTTAACCGAAACTTTTAGTAATATAATTTTATTGAAGGGTTGCGGAAAACATTTAACGCTTCGTTTAACTGTGTCGTAACAGTTAAATATGTTAACTGCTTGTCGAAAGTTAAACCGAAATCTTACGTTAACTATTAAGATGTCTCGCTCCACACAACTTGATATTAATTCACTTAATTTAAATGACTATTATAATTAAGATAACATTGTACCTTGTATATATCGACGCTATCAGCTTTAATAACGGATGCGACTTGAAAATAATTAGAGTCTGTCATCAATTATTATTAAAACTCATTAGTATTCATGATTATTGTTAAAAGTAAAACGAAATCAAACATTGTTTAAAAGAGGAATAGAACCATGTTTAAATGTTGGTATAAATATGACGTCTGGACGGACGACGGCAGAGTTCAGTGAGTGATTAATTATCATTGAAGTATGTGATTATAAAGAACCTTCGAGAAATATAAGGAAATTTAGAACAATTGAAGTTTCATTTTAAAATATCATGGAACGTACTGAAAGAAGTGGCATAAATGACGTCAGCGAGGCTGGCGTCGCTCTCTTTAAAAACAACGAATTTATAATAAATCCAATATATACCTATCTATAACAGCAGAATTAATCAGTAAAGCTAAAAAATATGACTTACTTTAAATTTGTTACGACATTGACTTGTTACAATCAAAAAATATGATTAAAGGTAAAATAGTATAAATTTAAGTTACTCCCAAGTTTTCAAGTTATTCAAATAAAGACTTTTTAGTTGGTAAAAGTATAATAAAAGAACATTAAAAAAATCTGTTCCGCCATCTTAACTGTTTTCCCGCCATTTTAAATGTAGGAATATGTCATTACAAAATGTAAACTAAATGTATATCTATAGCAAAGTCAAATCTTTTTTTAATTTTCATTCAAAATTGAATTACAAGATTCTGTAAACCAGTTAAAATATTGTAAAAATAAATTAAATTTACTATGAAACTAAGTTATTTAGATAGCGTGATTTTATTTTTAGAGAAGTTGAAATGTAATAATAATCTCGTACTTATAGAAAAAACTTACATTCTGTGTGTGAATGTGAATATTCGTAAACATTAATAATAATTATTACATACTAGTTTACCGCGACTTCGTCCGCGTTAATTTCGTCATTAGTAATATATAATCAATCAATTTTTTTCAGCTTTTATACCCTCCCTGAACCTCCACAAACATTTCAAGACTAAGATAAGATAAATCCGTTCAGCTGTTCTCGAGTTTTAGCGAGACTAAGGAACAGCAATCCATTTTTATATATATAGAAGATTAAGTTACATAAAATGGTAGAATCATAACAGCAAGCAAACAAAAATAAAAATAAATACAGAATCAAGTAAGGTTACTATAGAATTAATTTAAACACAAATAAAACTATAATTAATACATTTAAATTTATTTTATTCATCATCAGAATATATTAACTTCGTCCGTAGATGTTTCAATCCACTGTAGATACGACAATATGTCTAAGAAACGTATTGGAGAGGCGCAACCTGGTCCTTTTATACTGAAGCCAATCTAAAGGAAATATATACACAACATATATAATAAATATACAAGCTATATACCCTGGTTTCGCTCTAATTTATATTCATCTGGTAATAGATCTATAGAAAATTGTATAAATATAAATCCAAATATACTCGTATTGATAGTTTTTCACTTGTCTTTAATAAAACATAAGAAAATATCTAAAATAAATAATATCTGATAGACATTTCATAGAATTTTTAATGTTATGTTATTTGAGAAAAATCGTTATTTTAATTTATAAACTACGCAAATTATTAAACCTATATTACAACTTAAATCTTATTATCATATATATATAGACGAAACCTCTTAGCATTCAATGGATTTTCCGTGCCGGGTCCGTCGTTGTAGAGAGGGGAGCTTCAACAGTGACTGGGACTTGCGACCCAGGTGTGGGTTTAAGGGGCCACTATTTAACGCGCGCTATACGCTCACCTCCACTGTCCAAGCTCCTCTCTCCATACTAAACATATATATTATATATACTATCATATATATATACTTACCAAAACCCATACTCCAGTAGTATTAGAAGCAAGTACCATGCCATTCTCCCACACACAATTATTCTTATTATTCTTAGCAAACCCACAGTAATAGGTCGTTGGTTTGTAAAGGTTATCTTCGTATTTAAACTAAAGAAGAGACAATAATAGATATTAATAATTATATTAAAAAGTCTTTAAGGCTAAATTTACATATGAAGTATGAAAGAATTACAAAAGTTTTATGCAATTTTCAGAGCTCATCCTCTAACCTCGTTTTATTTAATTATTTAATGAAATTCTTTACAAAAACAAATACTAATTTAACTTTTTCTCAATGTGTTATCAAATATATACAGCAATTAGGGATGTTCGTGTTTATTTATCTTAAATTAATATTTTAATACTTTATAACGTCGAATAATATATAAATAGGCTTTAAAACACTCTAGATATTTTTTATAATGAAATTTAAAACATTGCAAAATTATTGAGCATTTAAAACGCCGTCATTTGACGATGATAAGTATTCTAGAAAAAAGTATTTTAATCCATTTAAAATTTTATGCATATTCCCTATTGTTAAAGTGACTATTTGTATGTTACAATAACGAATTAACTTTTATAAATTTATATAAATTATTATATAACAAATGGAACTGGAGAAATTGTATTTATTTTATAGTTTTTTCCTCATTTTAAACTCACCCCAACACGATTGTAAAAGTCATCACACAAATCCCGATTCACGTATTCGATGTTGTAAATAGCTTTTTCTAAAAGCCGATTATCTAAAAATAATAATTATAATATAGTACATAATTTTCCCAAAGAGGATTGATGTCACGCAGGCAGACGGTCGTAGAAACAATTAGCCAAATCTATTCACAACATGTAAGGCAGACCCTGGCTATAGCTGTGAAATTAACAGGTAGAAGAAGAATGTAGAACTTAATTATATATTAAGACAATATTTTACACTTACTTTAACCAAAATGATTATCTCATTTATAAAAAAAATATATATATATAAACGTATAGTTTCCCGTTTCTCACTCAATACTACGTTAATACTGTAATGTGTAGATTTATGAATGACAAACTGTTAACGCTACGTGTGTAGTGACGATTGTAACTTATAGTAAGCACACTGGAAAATTTCATGCTACGGCAGAGTTTGGTTGAGAAAAAGGGGCAGAGAAGAAGAAAATTATAGATAGCCTATATAATATTTGATGATAATCCTTGTAATATTTAAAAAACCTTTAGATATATAATAACGTCATGTTTTCTTGTTTTTTAATACACACATATATATATATATATATATATATATATATATATATATACAGGGTGACTGGTGAATTACTATCGATATTTGAGGACGTGATATTTGACGATCATATATGACAAAATAAAAATTAATATAACATAAATATTAATAAACTTCTAAGTAAAGTCAACCAAAAGTTGTGTAATTAATTACGCATCGTGTGAACACCCTACAGATTAGGTATACACACACACTCACACATACGCGTGTCGTGACGTAGTGTTGTATCAGCACGCCGCCGCACGCGTCCACACTTTAACACTTGGAACGTGTCAACACTTTATTTATTTATACGGAAATTTTGACAAAAATTAAGTGCCTATTTTTTTTACATAATTCGAATGAGAATCATGTACCGAGTATTCTCCTTAAATATTGATAGTAATTCACCAGTCACTCTGTATATATATATATATATATATCACATTTAGTCTCATTGAAGGCAATTTTATCTATATAATGTACGAGAAAATTTTGGAAAAAATAATAAAAAAACATATTTACCATCTACATAACCCAACGCGTACAATTGATTTTTGGTGTTGTAATTGATATTTGGTGTACATATCGGGATTAAATCGTCTGAAAACAAAAAACATATATTAAATAAATACGTTGTACAAAAAAATTCTTGTAAAAAATACTGTAGACATAGGACTAAAAGAGAAGAGAGAGAATAAAAAAAGATGTCTTCTAGGAACTTCAAATGAAGATGTAAGAAAAACTATTCGTCTTTAAATATTTGCTTGGAATTTCCTTTGAATATAATCAAGACAGCTATATACTTATGTACTTATATATATATATATATATATATATATATATATATATATATATTATTAATAAAACATAAGTACCATTGAACTCATAGTCCAATTCAATCAATGCTATCGTATTATATGTTATGTATTCGTATTCGGGATGTAGATGTCTATCTTTGACCGCGCACGACCAAGGCTCCCCATCTTTTAATATGAACATCGCTTTTGTTTCTCGTCTAGAATAGTATACATTTTAATTAATATTAAAATAGTTAATGAGATCTAATATTAGCGAGTATTCATTTAAATGAAACTAATATTTTTCAGATTATTTTTATTATACATATCTCGTCTGTCCGTAATCACGGTTGACGTAAAGTAACTAAAACTTCGAGAGTATACAGTTTTTAAAATAATAAAATACGCATAGCATAATCCGAAAAAATATTTGTTTCATTTCATTTTAATAACTTTTAAAATGAAGGATTTCATAAAACGACTTCAAAACAATTAATTGGTGTGAAATTAAAGCTACATTTAAGTAGATTATATCAAAATTCCCTTCCTAATATTCTTATCATTGCGCTTACCACAAGTTTGCGTACACACAACATACGGAGAGTTAAAAGTTTTCTTTATATCCTTCATATTATCGTACTAAGGTTAGTTACTAAACGAGAAACCCGTAGTAAGAAGTGTGAAAATGCAAACTTATGATAATTAAACATAAGCAAAGCGATAAAATAGTGACTATTGACTACATTAATCTTAATTAATATGACTTGTAGGTCTGTTTGTGTATATTCAATATTATACATCAATCATTAAGAAACTAAACGATCTTGTACTGCCAGTCGTACTAATTGTTTTGAAATTATAATTCATGTTAATAAAAAATATGTAATTTGTTCAGCAATTAGTGTAATTTTATTAATTCAATTGTAACATTTCCATAAACTACTTTTATTACAAATATATTCTACATATTTAAAATGTTGATATATATTTTATTTGATAAAGTATTTATAAATATAAAAAAAAAAACAATTTATGTATTGCGCCAGAGTGTCAAAAATCTTTGTTAACATAATGATGGATATTTAAAATATTATAAATGCACAGTTTGTGAGGAAATGTTCATGATTAATGCACATTCACTAAAAAACTGCTAAGTCGATTTTGATGCAACTTCAAAGCAATGTAGCCTAGACAATAAAATAAGACAAAAGCTGTAATTTAGTTTTCAAATCCGTGTATCTACCCTTTAATGTATTGTTTTAATATACTCTTCATAATTTTCTCTGCGTACAAATTCCAAAATCCACGCGACAGAAGTCGTGTACAAAAGCTAGTATAAACAGCCGTTTAATATTTAAGATAACAATAAGTATCTTACGCGAGATCACTTTTATGCATTCCGGCAACATCGTGAGCGTTGACCACGCCGTACTTGTGTTTTATTAATACCAACCCAGTTAAACCTATAGGGTGTCTCACGGAAAATTTCGAATTTAAAAAGGCTATAAAAAAAGAACGACTCGATAGATTTCAATGATCAAACATTTATTTGAAAGCATAATTCATGACATTATTTGTGAAAAATTATCTCGGTCAAATGTCCACCACAGCTTACTTGGCAGTACCCTATTCGATCAGTCCAATTTTTCAGTACATTTTCAATTGTTTCCGGCCTTATGGCAGCAATGGCAACTTCAATTTCATGTTTCAAGTCATCAATCGTGCTTGGCTTGTTGGCGTAACAAACGTCTTTGACCGCTCCCCAAAGGTAATAATCCAATGGTGTTAAATCGCAGCTTCTTGGAGGCCAATTCACATCACCATTTTTGCTGATTATGCGATTTTCGAAGATTGGGCGCAAAACATCGACCGTAGCATGGGCTGTATGGCACGTAGCCCCGTCCTGTTGAAACCAAATATCGTCCAAATCATACTCTTCCATTTGACCGAAAAACCAATCAGTTAACATAGCGCGGTAGCGCTCGCCGTTGACGGTTACGGCGGCTCCTTCATCATTTTCAAAAAAAAATGGGCCGATGATGCCGCCGGACCAAAATCCGCACCAAACAGTCACTCGTTGTGGATGTATCGGTTTCTCCTCAACGACGTGCGGGTTTTCTGTGCCCCATATACGGCAGTTTTGTTTATTTACATAACCGCCGAGGTGAAAATGAGCCTCGTCGGAAAAGATGATTTTTCGATAAAACTCACCATCTTCGGCCAAACGATCTTCCGCCCAATTTGCGAACCGTAGACGTTTCGGATGATCAATTGGCTTCAGCTGTTGGGCCAACTGAACTTTATATGGCTTCAGGGCAAGATCTTTGCGCAAAATTCGGTGCGTAGTTGACCGAGAAAGGTGCAACTCTTGCGCTCGATGACGAATCGATGTGGATGGCCGTTCACGAACACTTTGTTCCACCGCAGCGATGTTTTCGGTTGACCTTGCTGGAAATGGACGTTTACGTGTTGTTTTATCCAACAGTGATCCAGTTTCGCGCACACGATTCACAAATTGCCGCACATATGCCTCCGATGGCAAATCTTTTTTGGCAAATATTTTTTTCAAATTTCGCACAGTTTGCGTTGGCGATTCACCACTTTGGAAATAATTTTTTAATATTTCCCAGCTTTCCTCAAGCGAATAGCGACCCATTTCGTAAATGTCAGACTTATTACTAAATATGTGACACTTCTCCGATGACAGTTGACGTCTCCAATGTCAAATTATCGTTAGTTCAAATTCGAAACGCTAGATGGGACACCCGTTATTTTCAATTTTTTACCGTCATCTGAAAAAATAGTTTTTAAATCATATACATACACGCACACACACACACACACACACACACACACACACACACACACACACACACACACACACACACACACACACACACACACACACACAAACAAAAGAAATATAATCATCATATAAGGCTTAGTATACAAAAAAATACTTTGATTACCCTCTAACATCCATCCTTTTCTTATTAATATAATAATTGTATATATAATTTAACTGTATAACATTATGCTAAGATTTTATATTATTACTCTATTCTCATAAATGTCTAATCCTATATTAATTCTTCCACTATACATACGTGAGTGAACTCGTAAAACTCCCAACCAGGGATAATGCTTAGTCTCGCCGATGTTTCCTTCGGTAACATTTGGTGTTTTTGTTTGATCGCAATTTGGTTGACTGTTAACTAATTTATAATAATAATTAGCTTATGTACTATATATACATATATATGCATATGTGTGTGTGTGTGTGTGTGTGTGTGTGTGTGTGTATGTGTGCCTTACCACAGTTTTGAAGTACTAACAAATAAAATACAACGAAAACCATTTTCGTTAACACGATTCAAGTCAATCAAATCACATTTTAAATTGAACGTAAAATTGCTTATGTTTGTAAAATATACAACGATGTACTTTAAACTGCTGTTTCTTAAGTGTATTGCAATAGAATAATAATTGTATTTTTTACACATGTTTTTGAATATTTATCAAATAATAAACAAAACTCAGCTATAGCAAATTTAAGTCAATAAAAAAGGGTCTTAAACTTGGACTTACTTAAAGAATCATTTTACAACAAAAACATCGTATTTGAATGAAACTAATATTATTCTTATTACTACACTCACATCCCGTCTTCGTGATCACGGTTGATGAAAAGTAACCGAAACTTCAAGAGTATATAGTTAAAATAGTAAAATACAAGTAGTAATCCGAATAATATTAGTTTCATTTAAATGAATACTCGCAAAAGTCTTAGATCTCACAATCCTATTTGATTTCTATAATCTATACATTTAAGTTATTTTTATCTCAATAATATGGTGTTTGTTTTTTTATAAAAAATAGCGTAAAATGTCAGTAATTAATGTCGGATATTCCTTAGCTGGGTATATTTTACAACGTTGTACTTTAACGTATATCCATAAGTTGGTGGACAATTACTAAGCGTAAAGATTGAACCCATAGACAAGCTAAGCTAAAAGAATTATGAAATAAAAGAAAGATCATCATCATCAGCCTATCAGAGCCCACTGAGCAAAGGCCTCTTCTCACATGAAGAAGGTTTGAGCATTAATCACCACGCTTGCTCAAGACGGGGTGGCGATTTCAAACTTATAATTTGAAATTATAAGACCAAATTTTCCCACGATGTTTTGCCTCCATCGTCTATAGTCATATTTTGTAAAATATTCTTATTTAAATCATATTATTAGTAATATATTTAGCAAAAATTTAAAATACTCAACTTGTTTACTTTATATTGATGCTTGAATAACAAGCTATCATAAATTACTGTAATAAAAAAAGGAAACATTTTCTTCATACGAAAAAAAATCTTCTAAAAGTGTTAAAGATACTTATTTTTATATCAAGTACTTATATCATGATAATTAATAGTTCACTTAAGATGTGATCATCAAATCTATGTATTTCCAATCTATTCAAGGTGAATTAAATACGTCAGTTATATAATATAAAACAAGCATTTTATACCACCTTAATATTTAGCAGAGAAGCTGAATATTAAAATAAATATCCCAGTGGTATAAGCCCTTATCCCTACCATTAAAAGATAAACATCTAAGCATATCTTATCCCGCAACTAAATTGCATATTGTTAACACTATTATCAGAAACCGCAATGCCATGATAATGGTAATTTGACATGGACGCATATACCTCTTACTGGGGGGTATAGAATAGAATAGAATAGAATAGAAAATAAATTTCTTATCTCAAAAGGATTATAGTTGTAATTTATATGTTTAATTTGTTAATAATCTATTATACATGGATAATACAGTTGTTTATTTTGAAATGATAGATATTAATGTCATATTTTTCTTTTAATTTAATTATACTAAATATTGCCTGCGGCTTTACCCGTATTAATCCCATTTGAGATGCACTATATAACCATTATGAAATACTTCATTAATATGGTGACAATGAATATCTGGTCAATGACCTTTTAAATAAAAAATATTCTGAAATATTTTTTTTAATTACGTCAACCAACATTAAGTTAAAGTGAGAACTTCATATGTTTTAAAGTCAGTTCAAAAGTCATATAAGTTACTCCTTATAACAATACCTATCTTCGAGAGAAATTCCTGTCAAAATCAATCCAATCGTTCAGCTTGAACAAAGTGACGTAACAAAAAACAG